CCCTGTAGTGGGAGCCGTAGATTGTGACGTGGTGCGTTAAGAGCAGGGATAGCCAGTCAGGCAGAACAGCTCTCCATGGGAGGAGGGGGTGGTTGGGGAGACTTGGAGCACAAGGACTGAGAATGGACAGCACACAGACGGTTTGAAATCGCCAGGCTGGGAAACATGAGTGAACCGTTGCTGCCCCTGAGGGCCCTTGGTGGGGAGGGGAGGAGACCCAGGTTGGGGTTGGTGGGGATCACTCTAGAGCCTGGTACTTGCATCGGCTCGGGCTCGGGTAGGCTGGGTTCCGGTCCCGGCCCTGTCTTACGACCTCAGTTTCTTCATCTGAACCGTGTCATTCATACTAGAGCCTTCCTCTCCACAGGGAGGCAGGAGACCCCTGGAAGGACAGAGAGGATGTCCTATGTCCAGGAGGCTGGACCACTGACCTCAGAAGGTAAGCTGGGCTCCAGTCAGTACAGCCACTGGGAGTCTGAGCCCAGTCACCTCGGAGGAGGTCTCCTGACTGCTCCTCATTCCTCGAGGCCCAGATCCAGGCCTTAACTTGCACTGATGACAAAACTGTCAACCCAGTGAGGGGTGTGTGAGAAACAGGAGCCAGGCTCCCACCCAGACGGAATGAACCAGAACCTGGGGGTGGGGTATATGTGTGTGGAGGGGTAGTTCTGGGAACCTGAGCCCCAGGAGACCCTGGAGCTCCACTAGAGTTGAGAACCACTGGGTGATAGACCCGGGACTTGAGGCCGGGTCCACGTGGCTGCGCCCCTTTCATGCACAGGCACACGCCTCAGGCCTGGCGTTCATTGTAGCGTTGTTCTCCAGGTCCGCCTTCCCACGGCGTTACTGGGGTTTGTGCACAGCTGCTACACACACACAGTCTCCCCACACTCCCTCAATCACATTGACAATGTTGGGTCACACACAGACAGGTGGACTTGGTTCCCAAGTAAGGCTGTCAGATTTAGCAATTAAAAACACAGAATGTCCAATTAAATTTCAATTTCAGATGAGCAACTTAGACTTTTTTAGTATAAGTATGTGCCAAGGATTGCATGGGACATACTTATGCTAAAATATTACTCATTGTTTCTCTGAAGTCCAAATGAACTGGGCACGTGCATTTTACCTGGTAACCCTGCTCCTTAGTCCTGAGGCACCTTCCTGGCTGTTCAGACACAGTCACGGCCCTGGAGACACACACTGATGCTGTAAGCTCTGTTAGGGGGGCCGTCTCTCTGCCTCCGCCCTGGGCCCAGCCTCACTGGCTGCAGCATCCAGGGAAGCCTTGCAAGAGATGACTGCCTTGAAATGGCCTTGAAGAGTGAATGGGAATGAGCCCTGGAAGGCGTCCCCATAAAGGGGACCAGGCTGGGAGAGGCCTGCTTGTAGGCTCCAACTCCTTGAGGCTCCCAAAGGAGGGGAGGGGGCAAGCTCCACTCCTCGCCTCCTCGACCACCCCTCTGCCCCTCCACCAAGGCACCTGGATGACAGGAGGGCTCAGGATCAGCAATGGTGAATCTGGAGGGAGTTCTGGAAACAGACCTGGAAAGATAAAGATTCCTCCAGCTGCCTCTGGCCCAGATTGAATCATCGAATCCAGGGCTTCCCTGGGGCCTGTTTCCCTGGGAGAGGGGCTGATGGCCTGCAGAGGGTGCCCATCCCCCACAGGTCCCAGAGCCCACCCGCCACGTGGTGGTGGTGGTGGTGGATAATGATGGGATGAGTTTTGGAGATAGGTCAGGCCCACGAGGATGACACTCACTCAGGTCAGAAGTTCTTAACCTGTCAGATGCATCACCCTCCTTCTAATATAAAATATTGTGGGCTGGCCTGGTGGCATAGTGGTTAACTTTGCACACTCCACAGCAGCAGCCTGGGGTTTGTGGGTTCGGATCCTGGGTGTGGACCTACACGGCTCATCAAGCCATGCTGTGGCAGCATCCCACATACAAAACAGAGGAAGTTTGGCACAGATGTTAGCTCAGCAACAATCCTCCTCAAGCAAAAAGAGGAAGATTGGCAACAGATGTTAGCTCAGGGACAATCTTTATCACTGAAAAAAAAAGAAAAAAAAATTGTGGATGCCCCTTTTACCATCTTGAAACGAAATTCAAAGATATTACAACCAATCCGGAGACATGATTAAAAACAAATATACTGCCTTAGTCATAATATAAAGGAGAAATAAAAAGAAAGCAACTGAGAATAAAATAAAATATATTTCAGTCAGTGAATGTTTAAGCATCACTACGCCAGGAAGACCCAGTAATGTTTAATCACCCCTGGCTTTTAGCTATAAACAGAAGTGCTGTGACAGGTAAAATGCAGGTGGATTCACGGGTGTTGTTCTGGTGAGTCAAACACCCGACATGCTTTTCTAAACAAAGTACGTATCTTCCGTTGATTTGCACAGTAGTTGCATTCCTAGAAAATTCGGTGTACAGTTTTAAGGCCATACAACGAAATACTTTGTGTTTATATGCAAAACAGAGTCAGGTTCTAGTCTTGGAGATTTTTGAACAGGTTTTTCACTAATAGGGGACCCGGAACAATTCTTTATTGCAGGACCATCCCCCTGCCCACTAGTGGTGCCCATCTGCCATCACTGTGACAACCAACACACATACCCACAACTCCACAAAACATGTCCTGGGGGCAGTGTCTGTTCTCTGAGGACCAGCATCAGGAGGGCATACAGGAAACCCAGAGCTCCCGGCTTCCAGCTCGGCCCCCTGCACCACAGCCCAGGTGTACCCCAGCTGCAGCTTACAGACACCCTCTGACCTCGGCCAGCACCTGGCTCTGTGCCAAAGATGGTGGCCTTGTAGGTTGTCTGAGGTAGGAGGAGGGAGCAAAGGAAACAGGCCTGACTCAGCCTCCAGGTTCCCTCCCCTCCAAGGACTCTCTGCCTGGATCCGGTGGGGGAAGTGACAGCCACATGTCAAATCGTGGTGGGTGGACAGGGAGACGCAGTGCCAGATCCCTATTCCAGGAAGGCCTCACTGTCAGGCCTTCAGGGACGGCTCCAGCTGCCAAGAACCACTTCACTAAGGTCACACCCCCTCCCTGGGTGGCCCACATCCACTGACTTACTGAGGCAGGAGTATAAATATATAAAGCCTGGCCATCTCAGCCCCACTCGGGATGCCTCTGAAGGCACATGGGGCTGTGGGGTTTGACCTGCACCACAGCTCAACTTCTCCCTCTGCCCACTCCTGTTTCTGTCCCCTCCCTTCCACGAGTATCGATCCCAAGGGCCCCCTTAATAAACACCCTATATTTGGCGTATAAGTACTCCATCTTGGAGTCTTCTCGGAGAACCCAACCTGTGACACATGGTAATGGGCAGTGCTGGTGAATTGTGTGATGCAAGTCCTGGAAAGGGGACATGGGGACAGGAGGGCTCGTGCCTGCTGGAAGCATTTGGGAGGGCCCTGTATTAGTCAGAGTTTTCCAGAGAAACAGAACCAATAGGATACATACAGACACACAGAAAGATTTAGTAGGAGGGATTGGCTCATTATTATGAGGGATGCGATTATGGAGGCTGGGAGGTCCAGGAACGCCTGTGGTGTAGTTCTAGTCCAAACCCCAAGGCCTGAGAACCCGGGGGGGCCAATGGTGTGAGTCCCAGTCCAAATGCAAAGGCCGGAGAACCAGGAGCACCGATATCCAAGGGCAGGAGGAGACGGATGTCCCAGCCCAAGCAGAGAGCGAATCTGCCCTTCCTCTGCCTTTTTGTTCTGTTCAGACCCTCTCGGGATTGGAAGATGCCCACCTGCATTGGTGAGGGCACTTTCTTCACTCAGTCTATCAATTCAGATGCTAATAGCTCCTGGAAACGCCCTCACAGACACACCCTGAAATAGTATTTTACTAGCTATCTGGGCATCCTTTAGCTTAATCAAGTTGACCCAAAATTAACCACCACAGGCCTCCTGGAGGAGGTGGGATTTGGGCCACCTTGAAGGACAGGTAGGACTTTAACAGTGTGAGATGGGGAAGAGGAGAAGGTCATTTCAGCTGATCACTGTCATCGTCACTGCTAAGGTTGTACCTTTGTGGTAGGTGATTTATTTACACATTTCACTCGAGCAGGGAGGCCCTTGAGGGGAATGACGAGGTGTGGGGAAGCTCTGAGGCCCTGAGGGGCTCTGAGGGGAAAGAAGCTGGAGTGAGTGGGAAAATGGGCTTGACCTGGAAGGCAGTGAGGAGCTACTGAAGGCTTTAGAGCAGGGAGGGGGTTACAGGATAGGCATCTTCAGAAAGGTCTCTGTGGCGTAAATGCACGCTGCATTAGAAGAGTTGGAGGCTACTGCTGACTTCTGAGTGAGACACCATGAGGTCTGCCCAGAGCAGCGGCCACTGGGGTGCACATGGGAGAAGATGGGTGTCGGGGTGGGAGGAGGGAAGGCTCAGAGGTGGCCCCAAGCCCAGCTCCAGCCCGGAGCTGAGTAGAATAGGATGGCTGCGGGGGCCTCCATGGTTCCCTCAGTCAGGGAGGAGGTGAGCTTACTTATCCAGGGTCTGCCTGGGGACCCATCAGACTTGAGGACCCCATCCTCTCTCTGTGGTTGGCCTGAGGGGAGGGGCTGGGAGACAAGGGCTGATAAGTCAAGGTATCACTACCTAATGTAATTTAGAACCTCCCCACCCTGCCCTGCGGCCACACACCCATTTAAGTGGCTTAGCCTAATATCAATGTTCACGCTGGTAACAGTCCAACGCAGGTGTTCCTGGTTCGCAGGTGGCTCTTCTCCGTGGTGACCAAGGCTCCTTCTAGCTTGTGGCTCTAGGAGCCTCTAAGGACCTCAGTGTCCTATGCATTCAGTGGATGGGTGGGGAAAGAGAGGGGCACACAGCTTCCTAACTGCCCTGACCAGGAAGTGACACACCTCACTTCTGCTCACATTCTGCTGGTGAGAACCAATCACTGGGCCACTTGCTAGCTGCAAGGGGGGCTGGGAAATGTAGTCTGTGGCTAGGCAGCCGCTTCCCAGTGACAACTGCACACGGAGGAGGGGGAGCATGAGTGTTCAGTCGACAGGTGGCCATCTTTGCCCCAGCTGGGAGCGGGCCTGAAGCAGGAAATGCCCTGTCTCCAGCAGGTTCTAGGAACACGCTCCCACAGTGAGTGTTGAGGGTGCTTCGCGGCACCTTGTGGGTGGGATCTGCCCGCGACAGACTTGGGGGGTTGTAGAGTGTGTGGAGCGTGAGCCCTATTTGCTCTCTGTGGGAGGTGGCACTTGTGTGCTCTCTGTTTATTGTGTACAAGGCTGTCTTAGTTTTCTATTGCTGTGTAACAAGTTATCACAAATTTAGCAGCTTCACACAACCTGCACTGATTAGCTCACAGTTCTGTGGGCCAGAAGGCCAGGTGGCGGTGGTTGGATTCTCTGCTTAGGACTGTGCAAGGCCAAGCCTATCTGGAGGGTCCCGGGAGGAAGCCACTCCCAGGCTCATTCAGGTTGTTGGCCAAATCCAGGTCCTTGCAGTTGTAGGACTAAGGTGCCGCTTCCTTGCCGGCTGTGAGCTGGGGGTGGCTGTCGCTCCTAGAAGCCTCTCTCTGGACCTTGTGTGTCCCCTCCATCTTCAAGGCCAGCAACGGTGTATTGAATCTTTCTGGTGCTTGACATCTCTCTGACTTCCCCCTCTGCCGTCAGCTGGAGAAAACTCCGCTTTTAAAGGGCTCACGTGATTAGATTAGACCCACCCAGATAACCTCCCTTTTGTCATATGACATAATCACGGGAGTAATAGCTCATCATATTCATAAGTGCCACCCACCTCCAAGGGGAGGGGATCCTACAAGGTCAAGGGTCAGTGGGGGTCATTCCTAGGATTCTGCCTCCCACAAGGGCTGGGTCTGAATGCCTTTGATCCTAGTTTCCTCCTCTGCAAAGTGCAGATAATTATATCACACAAGGATATGGTGCGGATTAAATTTATTAATTCACATACTTAACAAACATTTGTCAAGCACCTTCTCTGTGCCAGCTGCGGTTCTGGGCATCAGGGAGCCAGCTGCTAACACGACAGGCAAAGACGACATGTGCATGAAGGGCCCCAGCATCACATCTGACGTCTAGCCTGCACTCCGGCAGTAGTCGCAGAGTCACTGGCGTTAGACTGACTGCAGCCCTGTCTCTCCCCTGTCTCCATGCCGTCACCGTCCCTCTTCCCCCTGCCACCTGGACAGACAGCCTCCTGCACCTTCCCCCAGGCTCAGGAGCAGACATCTCCCTGTTGCCTCCCCTGAGTTCAGGCGCACAAAATTGTCGACGAAAATAATCCATAACCAATCTATAAATGAAAACTTGGGTGAGTTTATTCGGAGCTGAAATCTGAGGACCATGGCCTGGGGCCTTTCTTCCCAAAGGAAGACAGGGCACCAAATAAGTGATGTGTACAGAGTGGTTGTATACCCCCATACAGAACGTTTCACATATGATTGAAATGTCCCTCCCACAATAGTCACAAGATTGCCCTGTCAGCACAGCACTTGATGGACACAGCAGGCAGTGGGTCTGCTATCTCAGAGGGCGTAGCAGGAGGCAAGTCTATTGTCTCCAGCTGGGCGGTCACAGGTGAGCACAGCAATCAGCTTCTAGCCTAAGGAAAGATACTTAATCCTTAAGGGAATGCCAACTTTGGGAAGGGGAGGGAAGTTGCACCTTTTTATCTCAAGGGCTTTTGTTCTTGCCATAGGGAATATCTAAAGCAGATATACAGTGCATGCTCAACAGCCACGGTCAGGCCCTTTTGGAAAGACAAAGTGAGGCCGAATTAGGTTTATACCAAACGGCTTCCTCACATACCCCAATATATCCTATTACTTGCCATTTTTATTTGTCAAAATGATGGCGGCGGCAGTGTCTCCACTGTCAGCTCCATCCAGAATTCAGATAATTCGTCCACAGACATGTCCTAGGATATTTAAAGCAATTAAGACAAATATTTACTTATTCATTTTTTTAAGCATGTGCCAGTGTGAATTTTTTTTTGCTGAAGAGAGATTTGCCCTGAGCTAACATCAGTTGCCAATCTTCCCCTTTTTTTTTTCTCCTGACAAATAAAAATGGCCAGCGATAGGATATATTGGAGAATATGCGGAAGCCATTTGGTACAAACCTAATTCGGCCTGACCTTGTCTTTCCAAAAGGGCCTGACCTAGGCTGTTGAGCATGCATTGTATATCTGCTTTAGAGATTCCCTATGGCAAGAACAAAGGCCCTTGAGATAAAGGTGCAACTTCCCTCCCCCTCCCAACTGCACTCACCTGTGACCACCCAGCTCAAGACAATAGACTTGCCTCCTGCTACGCCTTCCAAGATAGCAGACCACTCCCTGCTGTGTCCATCAAGCACTGTGCCGACAGGGCAATCTTGTGACTATTGTGGGAGGGACATTTCAATCATATGTGAGACACCCTGTTTGGGGGTATATAACCACTCTGTGCACCCCACTTCTTCGGTGCCCTTTCTTCCTTTGGGAAGAAAGGCCCTGGGCCATGGTCCTCAGATTTCAGCTCAGAATAAACTCACCCAAATTTTCATTTATAGATTGGTTATGGATTATTTTCGTCGATGCTCCCCAAAGCCCCAGTACATAGTTGTATATCCTAGCTGTAAGTCATTCCAGTTCCTCTATGTGGGATGCTGCTGCAGCACGACCTGACGAGCAGTGTGTAGGTCCATGCCCAGGATCTGAACTGGTGAACCTGGGCCGACAAAGTGGAGTGCACGAACTTAGCCACTTGGGCACGGGGCCAGCCCCAAGACAAATATTTATTGACTGCCACTATGTGCTGGATCTACTTCCTCCAGGCAACCTTCTCGGACTGCCCATAGCAGGGCATGATCCCTCTTGGGCAACCACAGTCTGGCCTGCCCCTCTCTTGCAGCACTTTGCCTGCCTATTCCACCCCACTGGGCGTCCATATCTTATCTCCACTCCTGCTCCCTGGCTGGGAGGGCTGCTAGGGAAAGTTGCCTGAGGAGGCCACTGATTGAAGCCCTGCAAATTCCAGCCTCGGTCCCTGCACCCCCAACACTGGAGAAAATAGAGGCTGAAATGGAGACTTGTGCTCTGGAATTGCAGTTCTAAGGCCCTAAGCTCTTCCCTGTCTCTCCCTGCTACTCCAGCTTAAATGACTGCTTGTGCATGGGCCTCCCTCCCCAGGGTCCCCTTCTCTCCCGAATCTTCAATCCCCATCCTGTTCCACTGCCTGCTGTCACTCAAACTCGAAGACCCTTTCCCTTTCCACATCCTAAAAATCCCTCTCTCCACACTGCCTCCCAGAGTCTGACTGAATAATTGATGGGGGCTGGTGAGCACAGTGGGACAAGGCCGGCTTGAATCCTGGCTTCCGCCCTGCCTGGCTATGCGCCCGTGGGGGAGTCACTTAGTCACCGTGAGCCTGAGTTTCCTCGTGGATTAAACAGGAAGGTTATGTTCATTGTCGTGGGGCCCTGGAGTGCGCGGTGCAGCCCTGTGACGTGGGCGTGTGGAGGGCAGAGCTGTGGAGGGCACTGGCGGCTACCTGCATGGGGTCAGAGAAGTCTCCTGGACAGGTGTGAGGCTGAGGGACGTGGCGCAGGACAAAGCTTGGCTCTCAGACCGGAGGGGTCCTTAGGTTGTCACTGGGAGAGGAAACTTCTTAATTCTGGCTAGTGGAGGCCATGGAAGAAGAAATGTTTTAAAGCGGGGAGGAAGCTCATGTTTATTAACTGTTCTTTCCTGTGAGGTCATTTGAGACACACTTTGGGAACCCAAGACAAAGGAGAACATGGGAGGGGACTGTACATGTGGCCTTGGCAGGTGGGGATCACAGCTTGTGAAACATGGGTGCGTTATTCACAGACCTGAGCTCTGAATGACACGATGTCACCAGTCCTGGCCTCCTCTTCTCCCGAGAGCAGGGGCCACTGCTCCTCCCTGTCGGTGGCTCCTGTGAGGTCCAGCTACGCAAGGCTATAGGGAAAGGAGGCCGAGGCACCTGCATACCGTGTGCACTGTTGGCCTCTTTGGGGACCGTCTCTGCGACTCTTCCTTGAGCCCAGGCAGCAGAGAGCTGGTGCGGCCGAGTGGATCACTGAATGTGGGTTCTGTAACTGCCCAGAGCCAGGGGCTGCTGACGGCAGGGAGGAGGAACGCGGGCTGTCTGAGTGCCCGGCAACTATGGACGGACGGGAAAAGGCTGCATTGGTTCCTAGCAGAGAGCTGCCAGGCATGAGCACATGTGTGCAAGTGTATGTGTGTGGCAGGAACGCAGGAGAATGGCATTTCAATGGTTGAGCTCCAAGTCAACTACCAAGAAAGTTTTAAATTAAAAGACACTTTGGGTCTTGCTTCCTGCGTATCCCTGCTGGCGGGCTGGCTGGTCGCAGGTACCAAGGCAGGGTCGGCGGCACCACTGGTGCATCAGCCAGGGCTCCTGTTTGGAGTGTCCCTGCCAGGTGGCACACCCTTTGCCCAGAGGCTTCCCGAGGCTCCCTTTGGTTTGCAGCTGTGCCATCCTCCGCCCCATCCTCCATCTCGAGGTCTAAGTTGACTGTTGGTCATGTCAAAGCAGTGGGAAGGGTAGAGGGGAGTGGAAGGTGAGCCCTTCCTCTTCAAGAGCAGATGGAAGCCATGCCTATCACAGGTGCTCACATCCACGAGGCCAGAGCTCAGTCACGTGGTCCCACCTAGCCACAAGGCAGGCTGGGAAAGCTGCCCGGCCCAAACTGGGGTTCTGTTATTAAAGAAGGGGAGAACGGATATCAGAGAACAGTTAGCAGTTTTGTCCACAAAGCAAGCGATGTGGAGAGTGGATGGGCGGGCGTGAGCGTGGAGGCAGGCAGACCATGTAAGAGGCAGTTGTAACAATCCACGTGAGAAATCATGGTGGTCTGGGCCGAGAGGTAGCAGCTGGGATGAGACAAGTGGAAGGATGCGAGAAATATTTAGGAGGCAGAACCAATAGGATTTGGTATTAGTTAAATTTTGAGGGTGAAGGAGAAGGAGGGATCAGGGACAACTTCTGAGTATCTGGCATGAAAATTGAGCACATTTATTCAGCAAACTTTATCCAGTTGACCCCACATGGCAGGTACTGCACTTGGAGACGGGTAGCACCATCACTGTCCTTGCAGGAGCTTTAGAGGGGGAAGGGTAACTCCCAGGAAACAAGGAGAGAGCTGTTAGATGTTGGGAACCAGTTAGGACCGACGGTGGGTGGACAGCATTTCAGGGAGAGCAGAGTTCACCGTGGGGCCTGGGGGCTTTGGGAGGGCTGAAGGCTCCTGGAGGAAGAGGCAGACATTCCCAGTGAGCAAGCAGGAGACCCAAGACATGGAGGTGGCCTAGGGTATCAGGAAAACCTTTCTGGTGATGGCAGCGATGGTCATGGTGCAGCAGAACAAGGCCTGGCTTTAGAACCAGATGGACTTGAATTCAAATCCTGACTCTGTGCTCACGTGTTGCTGGTGGAACTGTGAATTGGATCAATCTCTGTCGTAGACTATTTGGCTGTATCTATCAAAACTACAAACCCACAGGCCCCTTAACCCAGCAATTCTGCTAGGAATTTATCCTACAGATAAACTCACATATGTGTGAAGCAACACATAGATAGGCTATTCATTGCAGCGTTATTTTTGTAATTGGCAAAGATTGGAAACAACCCAAATGGCCATCAGTATAGGATTGGGTAAATAAATTGTGATGTATTTAAGCAATGAAAGACAATGTGAATGAAGACAAAAGACAAAGAATGAAAGACAACAAGAATGAAGTTACTCTCTGTGTATTAATATGGAAAGGTCTCTAAGATATATCATAAGTGATAAAAACTAGACACAGATCAGTGTTATAGTTTACTACCATTTGAGTAAAGAACAAAATTGCGGAGGGAAGCATATCTATCTCCATCTGTCTATTGAAATATATGTGTGTGTATTTTTTTCATATTTCCTTGTATATGCATAGAATATCTTTGGAAGGACACACAAGCACAGTTGCTTCTAGAATAAAGACTAGGTGGCTGGGAATCAGAGTTGGGGGCAGACTTTTCACTGCACCCTTTTGTACATTTGGAATTTCAAATTATGTGAATGTATTGTATATATCCCTGTCCTGCCATTTTGTAGCTGTGTGACTTCAAGCAAGTCACTTGGCTTCTCTGAGCCTTTGTTTCCTCTTCTGTAGAATGGTGCCAATACATTGGCCTTGGGAGAATCATTAGGGTTGCCTGGCACAAGGGCAATGCCCCACACATCTCTCTCATCTCTTCTTTCCTTCATCGCCCGGCTGCTAAGCCTTGCCCGGCTTACCCCCTTCAGACATAAGTCGCCCACCCCTGACTTGCTTGTGTTTGGGGGTCCAGGTGAGAGGCACTTGGTAGCCATCCCCATGATTCCCTGACATCACCAGCCAAGATAGGGGATGCTCAGGAGGAGGAGCGGGTTTGGGGTGCGGCGCGTGAGGCCAGTTCCAGTCAGGCCGCGTGTGGCATATCTGATGGAGCTCAACGCCTGGGCTGGTGGTGGAGACTTAAGGGTCTTCAGACTCTTCCACTGGGAAGGAATAATAATTGTAATAATAACAAGTGCTAACATGTATTGAGCATGTACGTGCATTATCTCTCTCAAACCTCTAAGCACCCTTCAAGGTAGAAAAAAGACTATTGTCATCTCCAAAGTTACCCAGTTAGGAAATAGTGGGCTGGATTCCAACCCAGGCCTGTCTGACCAGAACCTGGGACCCAGATGGAGAGCAGGTCCTCAAAATCAGTAACTTTTGGGTGGCTTTGCGGGCCACATGGCATCTGTCATACTGCTCAACTCTGTGGTGTTGTGAAAGCAGCCATAGACAACCCATAAATGAATCGGTGTGCCTGTGTCCCAATAAAGCTTTACTTAGGGACACTGAAATTTGGATTTGACATAATTTTCATGTGTTGTGAAACATTATTCATCTTTTGATTTTTCTCCCAACCGTTTGAAAATGTAAAACCAGTCTTCGCCCACGGGCTGTACAAGCAAAGGCGACGTGGGCCTCGAGCTGTAGTTTGCTGACACCTCCCCACCCTCTAAATCCTCTGACAACCAGAAAGGACACCACTGGCACCGACGCCTTCTCCAGTCTGGGTTTTGCCTCCCAGAGGCCCGAGGCCACGCTGCTGACACCGGAGCCCCGCCTGGATGCCTGGCTCCGGAAGACGGAGGAAGAGGCGGGGCCGGGCCCGGGCCTGCTCCCGGGTGAGTCTGGGCCTTTGAAGACCGGCTCCCTCTTCAATGAGAAACAGGCCTTCCTCACCCCGCCAGCCTGGCGTCCTGGGGCAGGAAGTGGGGGCAGACGTTGGCCCTCAAGGCTGCCCCTTTGCGCCTTGCTCTCCAGCACTTCCCAGCCTGCCTCAGGGCCAGTCCCACAGGGCCAGCTCAGGTGGTGTCAGGGGGCGGCAGGCTCAGGGAGGGACCGGGAGACCTGGTCAGGGCTGTGGGGGAGGCCGGCAGCGTCGCCGGGGCCTCCCGTCCTCTGGGGGGAGCAGGGCTGGAGATTTTCTCTGAAACCTGCCTCAGAGTGCTGAAGGTTCAAAGGAGCAGGGCTGTTCTGACTACTTCCTTCAGAGAAACTTCCTTCAAAGATAGCTACTCTTTTCTCTCTTTTTGGCTCCTCTTCCCAACCCTCTTTTCCTCCTCTCCTCTCTTGACCTCTGCTTCCCTTCTCTCGGGTCCCCTCCCAACATGGCCTGACACTGCTGCCACGGAGCCTTTGCTCAGCCGGCTCTCTCCCGGAAGTCCTGTCCCCCCATCCCCACCTGAACATACTCTCCTCTCAGATGCCACCTCCTCCTCTCCCAGTGGGCCGGGGCTGGGAGGGGATCTCCCTGAGTGCCGAGTGTACAGAGCCGGCCTAGGAGAATCACCGCCCAGATTCAGTGCCCAGAGGCAACTCAGACCCCTCCGCGTGGCATTCAAGGCCTTTGTGAGCTCTCTCAGGCTTTGTCTCACCTGAGCTCCCCTGGGAAAGCTCACAGCCTCGCGGTGGGAGGGAATCCTCTACCCCAGTGCGGTCCAGTGGAAATATAATTTGAGCCACAAGTGTAACTTTCATTGTTTTAGTAGCCACGTTAAATAAATAAAAAGAAACAACTAGAATTAATTTTAATAATATATTTTCTTTAACCCATTGTATTCAAATGTTATCATCTCAACATGTAATCAATATAAAAATTATTAATGAGATATTTTATATATTTTTTTATGTACCAAGTTTTTGAGGTCTCATGTGTGTTTTACACTAACACCAGGTCTCCACTCAGACTGGCCACATTGCAGTCGCTGCACACGGCAGGTGGCCCCCAAGTTGGACAGCTCAGGCCTAACCCAACCCTGAGCCCCAGCCCTTAACCCTAAAAGCTGCCTGAGTAACTACAAGGTAAGTGTAATGGATGGCCCTGGTGGAGATTAAACTGGTGGGTTTTCTTCTCTTTTTGCTTTGATTTCTCAGGGAAGAGGTAAGTGGTGCCTTTGTAAAGGGGAATCCTGTCTGTCCGAAGCTTCGTGTGCATCTCAGAGTCCTGGGCTCCACAAGGGACAACCAAGTCCTGTCCAGGAAGTGGGGCATGGGCAGCCCTTGGTGTGTGAGTGTCAAAAAGGAGAAGCTGCGATGTGGGTCCCCGGAAGAGAACTAGGTGGCTGTGCTGGGGGGTGAGGGGTGCTGTGGGCAGCTCATTACCCAGGAGGACAGGGCAGTAGGCTCTTGTCAGTCCCAAGCTTTGAACCAAGCTTGCATGCTGTGGAGTCCCCACTGGGGGCAGCCACTTCCTGTGATGGGCAGCAGGGGATGTTTCTAGAAGAGGGTAGTGTCTGAGCTGGATCCTTCCTTTCTCTTTTCAGAACCTCCATCCATCCTTTTCCCTCTTGTATCCCCTTCCTCTCCTTGCCCCAGAGCTAATGAGGTGAGTGCCCCCAGTGCAGGGGCCTCCATCCGCTTGTTTCTCTTTGAACGTCCAGGCTCTGGTTGGCTCCAGAGGAGCATCCTGGGAGAATTGGCCAGCAGATGCTGGATTCCCTCACCTGGAGGCCTGACCTCACTTGCAGACGGCCCCTCCTCCATCTGTGCCTTGTGACTGGGCAAGGCAGCCCAGCCCACCTGTCCGTGGCTTCAAACACTATCCCCTTCTGCTCAGAGACGCTCACAGGACGTGTGTGAGTGTGTGAATGGGCACTCCCAGACTGAGGGTGGCACAGGGGCTGTCTAGGGTGCAGCGTTGATGGCTGGGGTCCCCAGGACGGGCCTGGGATAAAGGGTCATTCATTCCTGACAGGTGCGTGTGGGCGCTGGGCCTGGCCAGGTCTTTCAGCAGGATTTCATCAGGGTTGAGGAGGCCCCTCCCCCTGGAAGGCTGGAGCTGTGCTCTGCCTGAGGTTGCTGTTTCACGCTGGAACCACTCGTGGGCAACAGAAAGCCAGCCTGAGCCAACTGACCACAGAGCCAGAAAGTCACCTGGGTGACCAGCTGGTGCAGCCTGCTCATGGTACAGGTGGGCAAACCGAGGGCCAGGGTGGAAGGAGGAAGTGAATGTGATCCAGGGTCAGTCCATGTGAGTTTCCCATTCCTAACTCTCTGATGCCGAGCCTGCTCAGGCGCTTTACGAGCTTGGCGAGGCTCCTGGCTGGCGAGTGGCCGAGCGGGTATTCCAGCCCGAGGACAGTGATGGAGACGTGTCATCTGAAGGGGCTCATCTTCCCTCAGCTTCTCCATCCTTCCTTCCTTTGTTTGATGGAGCTTGGGGACAGGAAGGGAGGTTTCAGGGAGTGAGCTGGGCAACATAGCAGGAGTAAGTCTTGGGCCAGTAATTCAGGTAAGTGAGAAACAGAAATGAATTTTCCTATCGTTCCACTGACTGTCCATCTTAGCCCCCCTTGGGGTGGGGAAACAGAAGAGGGCAGTGGTGCAAACTTAATCTCAGACAGTTTGGGGTCTTCCCCTTTCCCCCAAGGGGTGGTCTCAATTCCATCTGGCGGCTCTCTCTACTGTTGGGGCCCTGAGAATCACTCTGAGGCCTTGCCGGGGCCCAGAAACTTCTGTGAGGTGCCCACAGCCCTATCTGTCTAGACATGCCCCTCCCAGAAGTTCCCCTTCTAAGGGGGTTGCCCTTGGTGCCTGGACCCTCAGACGTACCTCAGACTCAGAGATGCCCAGGACATCTCAGATTTCATCAATGGTTTCCATCATCTCTCTGCTGTGTAGCCCAGGGGCTGGGGGCTGGCTGGGTGGTGAGGGAGCCTGTCCTCTGGACTCCTGGGGACCACCACTGTGGGCTTCTCTGCTGATGGAGGCAGGTGGCAGGGTTATGAGCATCCCTGAGGGTCAAGCTGGCCTTCCACTTCCACTCTTCTTGGGGAGCAGCTCACATGCTGCTCTGACATGGTTAGTCAACCGTGAGTCCCCAGGGCCGTGGGGGTCTGTGGCTCTGGAAGCCCCTGGGTCTCTGGTTTCCCTGATCAAGCCCAGGGAGGAGGGGCAGTCCTGGTTTGCCCCAGACTGGAGGAGGGTGGTTCCCGGGATGAAGGACTTTCAGTTCTAAAAGCAAGACAGTCCTGAGTAAGATGAGCCAAGATGAGCTGTCCCCTATTTTTTCCCTCCCTTAGTCTGGTATGGCTGGTCTGGGGAGGGGATGACAGGGTCAAGGGGACTTCCCTTCTGTGTTCTATGCTTGGGACAGTGTGCAGGCAGACCAGGCCCTGGAGGTTTATTTGGGGGGACGAGACTCCTTGGTGAGATCAGCTCCAGCCCTCCCAGTCCCCACCCCCCGAAAAGGATGAAGGTTTGTTTTGGTGCCCCCGCTCCCATCCTGGGCTGCTGCCAAGCCTGGCCTCCTGCTGAAGGTGGTCCCAGGGGCTTCTGGATCAGTAGGGCCAGGAGGCAGAGCCCCTGGGCCCATCCTGGCTACTCTGTGACCTTGGGCAGGTCCCTTCACATCCCTCTGGTCCGGTCCCCTTAGCTGTGAAATGGAGGGTTGGATCTATAGGGTCCGTTGAGCCCCCTCCAGCTCCCAAAACTATTGTTTGAGCCACACAGATGAGAACCCCGACTCTGCCCCCATAGTTAGCCCTGCAAAGCCTAGTGGGGAGCCAGAGGCTCGAGCTGTGAGGCTTTGGGAAGGGCAGGCTGAGGACACTGCCCGCAGGTCTGGACAAACAAAATAAATTTGTCCCCTACCAAGAGGGCAGTGGTTAGAGCCAGGGCCCCCTAGGACTTAGACTCATCCACTGAGTCCAACCCTCCTGACTGCCAAGAACAAACTGAGGCCCAGAGAGGGAAAGTGAGTTGCCCAGGATAACACAGCAAGTGGGTGACCAGGTGGGCATTAGAAGCCTGATCTCCTGGCTCCTCCCCAGTGCTGTTTCTTCCCTTCTCAGGATCACCAATATCACTAAATGCTCTTCACAGGGAGCCTCTCCTCCTCCTGACCCCTCCTGCCCACACACCCCACCCCTCAGCTTCCTGAGCCTGCTGCACTTTGACCCTCAGATCTGGAAGGACCCCACAGATGTAGGGGTGTGACAGGCTGCGACTCACCTCTGAGCTGCTGGAAGGGCTGTGTTGGCACCAGTGCCCTGCTAGAGTGGGGAGCCAGGAGGTGGAGAGCGGCTGGGAAAACTGAGGTCGGGTGTAGAGCCTGCGTTCCTGGTGGGCATGGGGTCTGAATTGGGGTCCTTTGTTTAGCGGGGGCTTGGCTCCCAGCAGACATTTGCAGACTCTAACACCAAAGACCTTCAATAATAACAATAATGACAATAGTAATAATAATAAACGTTTCCATTGAACAGCTGACACTGTTTCGGTTCAGCTCTGAGAGCTTCACATGCCTTTAACCCTCACAACAGCCCTGTGTGTGTAGGGGGGAGTGTCCTTAGGACCATTTCCCAGCTGAGAGGACCTGGCCGAGAGAGGGGATACCATCACGGGGCGCTCCACTGAAGACATGGGGGAGCGACTTCCTTTTCCCGGGAGACTGAAGTAGCTCGACTGGTTTTGTCCTAAAATTTAGAGCAGAGTTTGCATTGTAACACCCATCTGTGACAATTTTAATTTAAAAATGGTGTTCTGAATGACAACTTTTCTCCACCAAATCTTGGCATCACATTAAACGCAGGTTGGGGGATGGCTCTGTGCTTCCTAGGACACTTGGGCGAGCCGCCCCCAGGGGGCACTCACGCCCCGTCCGGGCAGCAGGGTCTGTCTGGCCAGAGACGCCTCGCAGGATGGTCCATGGGCCCCTCAATTGGTGATTTTCCGGACGGGCAGGAGATACCCTGGTGGGACCAAACTTTCAGCTCCGTTGTATGATTCCTCCCCATCGGGAGAGACTCCCCACAGGGTCGGCCCCTGTCCAGCGTGGTACCAGGATGGGCTTCAGGGGATTAGTGTGAAAATGATGTGAGGAAGCAAATGGAATATTTCTAGGAAGAGGGTCTATGTTTTTCATTAAGTATCACAAAAAAGGCTCGACACCCCCCCCATTAGGAACTCTGCCCTGGGTACCCGGGTCCCCAGACACGGTTGCTACCTCCTCAACTGTGCTGGGCACTTTGGCGTCCCCCACGCAGGGCAGGCAGCATGAACTTCTCTAAGCACCCCAAGAAAAGGCCAGAAGGGACCCCCACACTCCTCTTCAAAAGTGGGAGCCCCACAGAAAATGCCCCCTGTTCCCGCAGCCCCGCCTGCTCTGCCCCGGCCTGAGCAGAGTCTGGGACCCTGTCTGAGGGCAGAGGAAAGCCAGATCCTGCTGCTTCCTCTCGGGATGTCTTCCCCTTCGGGGCCTCAGTTTCTCACTTGTAAAATGGGGATGTGAAAACCTGCTTTGTAGCGTGGTTCTGAGGTCAAAGGAGATGATTCTCATTGAGGGGGCTGTGACCCCTGCAGAGCTGGGCACGAGGACCCCCGGGGCCGTCCTGGCTGAGGCTCCTCTTCCTCCAGGGGTGAGGCCCTCTGTTCTGCAGAGCCGAGACGTGGGCACGGTGTTTTTGCTGACCAGGCCTTTCCGGTTGCAGCCGGACAGCATTTGTGACCCTGAAACGTAACAGGGAGGTAGCATAACTAGGGTAGAACGTAAGCTCCCCAGGAGTAGGAATTTTGTCTGTTTCATTTCCCGCTGTGTCCTCAGGGCCGAGAACATTATCTGGCAAATAGTAGGCGCTCAATAAGTATCCGTTGAATAACAGATGGGGCCATGGGGAAGGGGCAGCCAGACATCCAGAAAAGTGTAGGGAGGGGCTGGGACATTCTCACTCAAAGGTCCGGTTTCAGCTCTCTCATCAACTTTCTGGGTGACCTTGGGCAAATCCCTTCTCCTCTCTGGGCCTGTTTTCCCACCTACACAATGAGGGGGTTGGCCCGGGGTCTCCAGGCCCATCCAGCTCTGATGCCCAGTGCAGCAGTGAGAAGCGGGACCCACTGTGTCTCGAGAGCAGGATTTGATAGAGGGCAGTGGGGTGGGCATGAGAAGCCCAGGAGCGCTGAAGGGGACCAGGCGGGGCTGCCAAGTCACGGGGGCATGGCAGGTGGGCACTCATTCTGCGGTGAAACCCAGACCCAGACCTCAGCAGCTGGGACTGTGGGCAACTTTCTGCTCCCACCCATGGGTGAGGTTCCTGCCCCTAGCCCTTCACCTGCTCAGCAGGAGCTGCAGGCACGGACTCCTCAGTTTGCAAATGAAAGGAACGCCAAGACACTGTCCTGCTTGAAGCTCTAGGAAGAGGTCCTGTCTGCAGCTGGGACCCTGCTCCACCCCTTGGGCCCTTCGCAGCCCCCTGGACCCCAGGGAGAAAGGGGGTGGACACGGTGGAGTTTTCATCCAGCTCTGTGCCATCATTACATACTAAACCCACCACCACTCCCCTTTCTCTGCCTCTCTCTGAATTTCTGCTGGGACTGAGCTGACAATTACTTTTATCCTCTAGCCTGGTATAGAGACACATCCACGAATATAGTTAGACACGTGTTATGGTTTAATTTAAACAATGGAGTTCATCAGCCATATAGCTTATATTTTGTTTCACTGGTGACTGATGACTAGCAAAATGACATTTCCATGTGTCCTTCTGAGAAAGTTCCAGCACGTTGCCCCCCACCTCAAACCAGCACTGTCTCCAGCAACCACTGAAATCATACTACTAAGTACAACCAAATTGCATGAAAAATTACTTATAACGAAAGTAGTATGTGCTTTTGGGTGAACATCGCAGAATTATATGAGATTTTTTTTTTTTCTTTAAAGATTGGCACCTGGGCTAACAACTGTTGCCAATCTTTTGGTTTTTTTCTGCTTTATCTCCCCAAACCCCCCCTGTACATGGTTGTATATCTTAGTTGCAGGTCCTTCTAGTTGTGGGATGTGGGACGCCGCCTCAACGTGGCCTGACGAGCGGTGCCATGTCTGCGCCCACATGTCTGGGCCGCCGCAGCGGAGCACGCGAACTTAACCACTCGGCCACGGAGCCGGCCCCCGAGATTTTTTAATGAGTGAAAACTCTCTCCTTCATCTCATTGTCTAATATTAACAGTTTAGTGCATCATTCCAGACATTTCTGTGGGTCTGTGAACTATGCAAATATTTGCATGATTTTTTTGTACAAACAAAATCATAACCTACAGACTGTTCTGCAACATACACGCCCTTCCAAGTCAGAGCACATGAGTCTCCCTTGTTGTTTGCATGACCGCATAATGGATATTTGGGTCGTTTCCAGTTTTCCATTGTTGCAAACAGCACTGATATGACACTTTGTATCTAATCTTTGTGCACTAGTAAGAATTTATCCACAAGGTAACTTTTTAGAAGTGGAATTACTGAGTCAAAGAATACATGAATTTAAAATATTCATAGCTATCACCAAACTGCCAAAATCAAATATTTGTACATTTACATGTTCACAAACTGTGTGCAATTGCCTATTTCCCCACAGCATGACAAGGCCATCTTTTCAATCTTCATTTGTCTGCTGGGTGAGGGTTGTATCCCAATGTTTTTTGGGTTTTTTTTTTCCTGAGGAAGATTAGCCCTGAGCTAGCATCTGTGCCAATCTTCCTCCCCTTAGATGTGGGTTGCTGCCACAGCACAGCTGATGAGTGGTGTAGGTCTGCACCCAGGATTCAAACCCATGAATCTGGGGTGCTGAAGCAGAGGGCACCAAACTTAACCACTAAGCCACAGGGCTGGCCCCAAGTGTTTCAATTTGCATTTTTTTCAACTGTAAGTGAAGCTGGACACCTCTTCTTATATTTATGGGCCTTTTATAACTTTTCTGATGTCCATTGCCCACTTTTAAGTTGTCCATTTCTTATTGATTGTAAAAGTCCTTTACATATGAAGGACATCAAACCAATCTTTGGCTTATCTTAATTACTGGCAAATATTTTTCTTAATTTGTTTTTTTTATTGCTTTATGTTTCATTTCCAAGACCTGTGCAGTAACAGTTACCAGTATTCCCTTTATGGAGTCCTGGTTTCTTGCTGAGTTGCATTTTTGATACCACAAATCCCAGTGATTGGGAAGGTCCCTTAATCCACATATTGAGAGTTAGGGGAGAAAGGGTTTGCCATTTATAGCTGAAAAGTGGGCGGTACAGAGGGCCTGTCCTTTGCCAGGTCTGGAATCTGATATCTGGAAGGAGACAAGGGCAGCCAAGAGACAGCATGGTGTGATGGGGAGAAGTCCTAGAACTTAGTGTCCCTCCCGGCTGCCCTGTCCTCCCTTGGCCTCAGTTTATCTAAGTGCAAAATGAGGGGTTTGAATCTGCCGAACTCTGAGGTCACTTCCTGTTTTCATGTTTGATGAGTCTGTTCATACATGGTGCCCTCAGACAGGACGCCGCCCCTCTTGGAAACTCTCTCTCGTTCTCCATAAAAGGCAGAAGTAGAACAGAGTGATGGTCGTGTCCTTTCAAGCACTGAGGACCCCTGACTCCATGGCTAGCTGCCCAAACTTCACCTGCCTCGCAGGCACCTGGGGAGCAGTCAGGAATACTGGAGCCCTGGCACCACCCCAGGACAATTCAATTAGAAACTCTGGAGGCAGGGCCTCCGTAGCTTTTTTTATTTTTATTTATTTAATTTTTTTTTGAGGAAGATTAGCCCTGAGCTAACTACTGCCAATCCTCCTCTTTTTGCTGAGGAAGACTGGCCCTGAGCTAACATCCATGCCCATCTTCCTCTACTTTATACATGGGACTCCTACCACAGCATGGCTTTTGCCAAGTGGTGCCATGTCCACGCCCAGGATCCGAATCAGTGAACCCCAGGCCGCAGAGAAGCAGAACGTGCACACTTAACTGCTGCACCACCGGGCCGGCCCCGCTCCGTAGCTTTTAATGTTCCCAGCTAACTGATGCTTGGGAGTCAGGAGTGGCCTGAGATCCTGCATTTCCAACAAGCTCCAGGGGATGCTGATGCTGTGGGTTCAGGACCACACTTTCAGTAGGAGGCTGGCAGTGCCAGCGTCCCCGGGCAGCTCCTTAGAGATGCAGGCTCTCCGAGTCCCAGAGTGACCCCTCCTTCTGGCTTCCCCATGTGCGTCTGCACTGCTGGGTGAACATAATCATCTTCAAAAACAGGCCTCTGGAGCTTTCACGGTTGTATTTGCTTTTTTCATAATTCATCAAGCTGTACATTTCTGATCTTGCCAAGCAGAAAGGGACCAGACCAGGTCATCCTAGACCCCAAAAAGGACGAGGAGCCCCGATGCAGCTGCAGTCCGCCGCACACACAGGGCGTGACTGGGGAGTCACTGGGAGAATGCTGTTGCGGGCTTTCACTCTCTTTCTAACCCGGA